CAGGGTGATGGCCGGCACTGGGGAGTGGGTGAGGTGGGCAGGGTGATGGCCGGCACTGGGGAGTGGGTGAGGTGGGCATGGAGATGGCTGGCACCGGGGAGTGGATGAGGTCAGCAGGGGAATGGCCAGCACTGGGGAGTGGGCCACTGCTGGCTTGACATGTCATAGAGAATGGAGAGTGTGGGGGGAGGGGGGACCAAAAGAAGTGGATGTGGCCTCTCAAAGGAAGTGGGTGAGGAGCACAGGAAGTCAGAGAAATGACTGAAGAACAAAGAGTGTGGCTTTTCAAAGAAGCTGGTGGGGGGTCCAGGGGGTGGGTGTGGCCTCACAAAGCTATAGGACAAAGGAAGTGAGTGTGGCCACTGAAAGGAAGTCGGCATGAGCTAAGGTGTGGCTGCTACCCACCAGCGGCTCTATGGGGGAAGGATGGGCTCTCTACGCCTGTGTGATTAACTGCCTTGGAAACCCCTCCAGTGGGTCAGTTACACAACAACAACAACAACAGCAACAGCAACAACAGGTGAAGAGCAAAGAAAGTAGGCATGGCCTCCCAAAGGAAGTAGCTGAAGGGCAGAGGAAGTGGCAAAGGCCTTTCAAAAGGGTTATCTGAAAACAAAAACAAAAATAAAAACAAAAACAAAAGAGTTGTCTGAGACCTTCCAAAACATTAAAGGAGGAAGTAACGTCTTTATAAAGAGGATAGGTGGGAACTTGCAAAAACACAGGGGTCTTAAACAAGGAAAGGCCTTTGGGATTTTTCTTCTTCTTTTTTTTTTTTTTAAAATGTTAATGAGAGGGAGTTCTGGTGGCCTAGTGGCAAGGAGCTGCAACTACAATCCCAGAGGCACACATGGTTCAAATCCACCAGACACTCTGCTGGGGAAGGAGGGACAATCTCCTCCTGTACCAGTCAGATCTGATTTGACGGTACACTCACACAAAAATAATAAAATTTTTAAAAAAAGTTAATGAAAGTTTACAGAGACTTGGGGTTTCCATTCATTCACTGTTGCACTTTTCTCCCTGCCCACCCCCTCCCCTCCAATTCACTCTTCTCTTTGAAAAGTAAAAGAAAAACTCTTTCATTGTTATGCAATCCCTTCCCCCAAGTCCACTCCACTGTGCAGCCTTCATTCTGGGATTTTCTTCTGGCATGAGGGGTCAAGTCCATTCAGAGGAGCTGCAGAAGAAAGTCCTGGTGATCCTCCAGAGCCCACAGCTTTGAAAAACCCTACTCTGGCACTCATGGGTCATCTTGACTGAGTCCACTCCGTAGCTCCTACTAAAGTAGTGAGTGTGGACCTTCCCATTGGGAAAGTCTGCTGTCAGGGACCTCTCCAAAGTCCTGAAGAATAATGATGTCCATTTAAAGACTAAGGTGCACTGTAATGGAGTGAGTCCCCAGAAAAGATCACGGAGCCAATTAGCCAAATTAACAAAGTTTATTCCAAGTTCGAACTGGGGCCCTCATGAACTGAAACAGCAGCATCCATGTGAGAGCCCTGAGACAAAGCCAGCTTTTTCCTTTTATTCCTTTTTTGTTTCTTTGTCTAATGAATTGAGCTATGGTTGGCTATTTAGAGCAGCTGGTATAATGGCTTGCATTCGATTTGTTGACCATTGTGCAGGGCGGGTAGCCTGGAGACTTGTTGGGGTCTGATTAGTGAGTAGTTAGCTTTAGGTACAGGAATGCAGGGAAGTTTTTTTTATGCCTTTACAAAGAAGAACATTTTGCCTCTATACGAGATAAGGTAGCCACACAGGCAGAAGGAGGGGGAGTAATGCACTCAGTTCGAAGGAGGAGGGGCGGAGGTAGCCGCACTTTAGCATAAGCTGAGGTTTGATTTTTACATGCACCAGATTCAAACTGTGGCCTTTCCAATCACCTGCTGTGTGTCGGAAAACTGGACAGTGAATAAGGTTGATAGAAGAAAAATTGGTGTCTTTGAGTTGTGATATTGGAGAACAGTGATGAGTATCTCATGGACTGCCAAAAGAACAAACAGATAGGTGTTAGAGAAAGTCCAGTCAGAGTGTTCCTTGGAAGAAAAGATGGTGAGGCTTCATTTCACATACTTTGGGCATGTTAGAACAAACAGGTCTGTCTCCTGGAAAGGGAGAAACCAAGTTACTTCTTGAAAGCGAGGATTTTGAAGCTGCGTCTGACACACTTTGAGCATGTTGCCAGGAGGCACCACTTCTTGGAGAAGGACATCATGCTTGGGAGGGTGGAGTGCAGGAGAGGAAGACCCCCAATGAGATGGATTGATACAGTAACTGGGGTAACGGGGATAGGGGTGTTGGAGATAAGTGAGGTTGACTCAGGATAGGGCAGGGTTCAGAGCTACGGTGCACAGGGTCACTATGAATTGCAGACAACTAGACGGCACATAGCAACAATCCTTGGAAAGGTGGCGGGTCAGTGAAAGAGAGGATGATTCTCAATGAGATGGGTTGATACAGTAACTGAGACATTGAGCTAAGCGGGTCAGGGATGAGGGGGATAGAGCAGGACAGGACAGGGCCCTAACAACCTAACAGCTTTGGTGAATGTCTCCGTCTCCTCCCCACTTCTAGCCCTGCAGCGGGCCCTCCTCCAGCATCCCTCGCCATCTCTGTCATCTCTCCACACAATTTCTCCAGCACCAGCACTCCAACACAGCCAGGCTCCTTATCTGTGGCCCCACTCTCCACGCTGCAAAGAGAGGGACAACAAGCCGGGTGGAGCTGCCTTGTCTTTTCCGACCTGGCCTTGGAAGTCACTGGACATTCATCTGTCATTCTCTGCCCATCTGGTCATAAAGCAGCGGGGCGGGGGAGGAGCAGGAGCACAGGATCCCCCTCTTCTTACACCCAGCAAAACACACTGACTCAAAAACCTTGCTGCTCCTAATGTTCTTACAGTTGCACAACCTTTCCCAAACCTTCTTTGTGTATGTGTGTGTGTGTCTTTTAAAAAATTTATTTATTTTTCATTTCAATGAACATCTACAGAGATTTTGGAATTCCGTTCATTCATTGTTGCACCCTTCTCCCCGCCCCCCGTTTGCTCCTCTCCTTCAAAAGCAAAAGAAAAACTCTCTCATTGGTACACAATCCCCCCCATCCCCCAACCCCAAATATAATCCACTCTGCAACCCTCATTCCGTACTCTTACGATAAACATAATGCCCTAAAATATAATATTTTTAAAATATTCTCTCCCCCAAAGACTTCAATGCCGTAAACATATTTCATCCAGTCTTACCCCCATCCCGATGTCAGCCTCATTCTACAACAGTCAAACCTTCTTTTTAACGTGAACTCATTTCCAGGTGCAGTTCAATTCATGTAGACCAGTCCTCCAAATATTAAATCGTTCATTGTTGCATGTTTCCCTCCCTTCACTTCCCCCTCCCTTGGTCTACTCTGTGCTGCATCTTTTGTTGCAGATGGTTGTCATACATATAATACCCAATCATATATCCCTTTCACACAGTTATTTCCTCATCTGATCTAACGCAGTGTTCATTATCTGTCCTTTCCCCATTCTACCCCCAATCCTTCCATGTCTGTCCTATTTTATAATGATGGTGTTATGCAATGTTTGTCCTTTTGTGACTGGGCTATTTCGCTCAGCATAATGTCCTCCAGGTTCACCTATGCTGGAAATGTTTTATGAGTTCATTGTTTTTCAGTGCCACATAATATTCCATTGTGTGAACGTACCTTAGTTTTTCTATCCATTCATTTGTTGATGGGCACTTGGGTTGCTTCCATCTCTTTACTGTTGAAGCTTCCTCAAAAAGTTGGAAATATAAATACCATTTGACCTAGGAATTCCACTACTGGGAAGATAGCCTAAAGAAACCATATGTATGAATGTTACATGGAAAACCAATTTTCTCTGTAAACTTATATCCAAATCACAAGAATAAAAGGTTTAGTTTGGGTTTGTTTGTTGTTGTTTTTCTTTTTTTAAAACCCCACCTATGGGAAGTTCTGGTGACTTAGTGGTAAAGAATTCTACTGTCAACACAAAATTATGAGGTTCAAATCCACCAGCTGCTCCAAAGAAGAAAGATGGGTCATATCCTCCCATGTGATTAACTGCCTCTGAAAACCCACCAGAGGGTGAGCTATGCGTCATTTCTGCCTCATTGGTACACAACAACATATGGGATTAACCTGAGAATGGCTGGTGGTTGTGGAGCCCTAATGACCAGGGAGGAAGGTTCTCATATCATTGCCTTTAAATCAGATCTGACTCATTGCTGACCCTCCAGTGGGTTTCAGAGGTTGTGAATCACATGTTTGGAGGTTCCCATCCTTCTCCCTCGAGCAGGAACGTTAGGAAGCAGAAAGTAAGTTTGTGTCAACAGGGGATGTTGTTGTCGGTGATGATTGCGTTCGAGTCAAGCATGACTCATAGGGATGCTGTGAACAAAAGGCCTGGAGACTTTCTATAACTATTGGCATTTATCACAGTTCATCGAGTTTCCAGAGGCGTGTGGGGTAGGAAGTGGATGCAATGGGTGCACAACTTGAAGAGTGTCACGACTATCACTGAAATGCACACGTTGGAAAGGAGCTCTGATGACTCGGTGGGCTCTATGTTTGTGCTGCGACTGCTGCATGGGAGGAAAATAGAGACACTCCTCCCGTAAAGATACACAGTCTAAAAAACATGCTGGAGCTTAGACAAGAACTGGGATCACCTCAGCGATAGTGAACGCTAACAGAAACGGTGGAATGGGTATATATTTGGGGCTGTGCACGTTCTCAACAGCAAAACAAAATAAGCAAAACAAATTGATCCAAGGATTCAGACCTTGCTTGCTGAAAGTGAGGGGGACTTGAAGCCTTTGTTGCAGAAGATCAAGGAATACAGCCTTCGATACGGACTGCATCTCAATATCAAGAAAATAAAAATTCTCACCGCTACACCCAACAATATAAAAGTTATAATGTAACAGTAATGTTTTACCTTATTGAGGAATTAAAATTTCTTTTAATAAAATAGAAATATTTCACTTGTAATAAAGCTATCTGATGTAAAATCAACAGACACAAAACAAATACCTCAATCAATAAATCTTTTAATGCACAAAGGAAAAAAAAATTCTCACCGCTGGACTGAGAGGCAACATCATGATAGAAGAGATTGAAACTGTCAACAACCTCATCTTACTTGGATCCACAATCAATACACTTGATATCAGCATTTGGGAGATCAGGAGACATATTGCACTGGGAAAGTCTGCAGTCAGAACCTCTCCAAATTATTGAGGAGCAATGATGTCAGTTTCAGGACTAAGGTGCATCTGATTCAGGCCATGGTCTTTTGATCACTTGCTGTGTATGGGTCTGAGAGCTGGACAATGAAAAAGGATGACAGAAGCATTGATGCCTTTGAACTATGACACTGGAGAACAGTACTGAATATCCCATGGATTTCCAAAAGAACAAACAGGTATGTCTTGAAGAAAGTGCAGCCCGAGGCTCCTTGAAGGCGAGGTTAATAAATCTTCATCTCACATACTTTGGGCATGCTGCTAGGAGGGGCTATTTATTGGAGATGGGCATCATGTTTGGAAAGGTAGAGGGACAGAGAAGGAAGGGAAGACCCTGAACATGGATTGACACGGTGACTGCCGCAATGGGCTCTAGTGTGTTGGGAAGTGTGACGATGGCACAGGATAGGACAGGGTTCACA